GGCTCTGGTCCACGCCCTTGAGAACGACCAGGTTTCTGTGCAGATTTCCGCCGCGATTGCTCTGGGCAGAATTCACTCCTGGGCCGTGTACGGCCGCCGATGTGCCCGCGAAGCGCTACTTGTATTGTCGCCGGACCATGACGCGCTGCAGGGTGAGTAACAGCGCCCTCGTTTAACCCGATCGCAGATCCGCCGTGGCGGAGCCAACGGCGAGGCGTAGCACGGGACCATTGTCCCGTGTGCCCCCAACAAACTCTCAGTCGGGACAATGGTCCCAACCTACCGTCGTTCGCCCGAACCGGATTCGTTGAACGCAATCGTAGATCCGCCTCGCCTGCGGCTCGGGTTAAACGAGAAACAGTCCGCGGGTACACCACGCACCAACGAACGGCGCACCACGTGTTCACGCGTTCATCACCACCGGTGAACAGGCACATCATCAACCACTTCGCATCGAACATCTGCGCGTCTGGTTCGAGGGTTGACAGTACCGCGGGCGGTGTGGCACACTGGCAAAACGGTGGAACCGGGGACTGGAACTCCCCGGCCCACCTAACCAACCGTCCCTTAACTGAGAAGGAACGGCAGCTGCGATGAATCGTATCCAGTTTGCTGAGAGTTGCTACCTGGTGCAAGTCACAAGTGTGACACACGATCACCAGGACCCCCCGGAGATGAAGGAAGTGCGCACGCGTTGCGCGCGGACCTCTGGTGGCGGCACGACCTTCGGGGGCGTGAGGTGGCTGGGCGACTGGGGGATTCGCCGATGGCGGATTACCCCGGCCCGGTTTTTTCACTTCAACCGGAGCCCATTGCCATGTCTCTCGAACTACCTGTCGACATTGAAGCCAACCGTCAGCGCTACCTGGCCGTCCGCCGAGAACTGCACGCCGCCTTCGACCACATCGCCCTCGGTCACTCCTGCACGGTGGAAGCACTCTTCCAGGAAACCCGTCAGCGGGGACTCAACGACGACGACATCCGAAACATCCTGACCCTCGACGAACTCGACACCACCACCGGCCACCACACCGAAATGCACTTCGCGTGTTACCGGTCAAATGCGGGGCGGATGTATGTTGCGAGAGATACCAGGGCCTGGAACGAACAAGCGTCTGGATTCGAGGCGTTTTCAAGACTACTTGGTGTGCCGGGTGGCCCAGGCCGGAGTGCAACGAAGCCCCGGTGAATTCCGCGCCCCAGTACTACCTTTCCCCTTCTGCGGTCTCCCGGCGAACCATCCAAAGGCATTGAAGCCACCTTTGGACGCAGTCAGGGAAACTCGGCGAATCAGCCTTCAGAATTCGGCCACGATTGCGACTTCTGTTCATCCGAATCCGACGTAACGCCACATATACGGTCCGCTCATCGTTTAAACAGATACCGGGAGTACGATACAATCTCCCTTACGCCACCCGTCATTCACTCCCGGGAGCCGAACCGATGACTCGACGAGTGTCGCTCATCACTCTCGCCAGTTTCATGGGTATGCATAATGAATGAACCTGCGACCAAAGATGCGAGCAGCAAAGACACAGGTAGCAATGCCCTTGAGAAATCCGCTGGGCTGATTCCGCATCTGTACTACGACATCATTGCGAGGATCGTGCCGGGCGGCATTTTCCTTGCCGCATGCGCCTCCAACCTGGATTTCGATTCTCTTCCGATCACGATAACGGGGATTGCCACTGAGTCGTGGATCCCGACGACAGCTGTCTTTGTCGGTGCCTCGTATGTCGCGGGAATTCTGATCACCGTAATCGCAATCATTATCGACGTAGTGTGGCACTTCCTTGCACGGTCAGCAGCGTGCGTTCTCTCTGAACGGGACATAACAATCAGTTCTCCATGGAAGATCGCTACTGATATTGACGAGATTTCAACGAAGAATCCGGACGCCGCTCGGGCACTGTTCAAGTTGTACGCTGAAGTCACGTTGTTTGAGAATCTCATCGGAGCAGTGGTGGTCTACTGCTGCATTTTCCGGACATGCATTCCGATTAGCCCTCTCTCTGTTGTCGTCGGCGTAATGCTGTTTCTGGGCCTGCTGTTCCGTATCGCCACAACCAGCCAGAGAACGGCTGAATGGATGAAGCGCCTGTCGCGTGATTCGAATTAGCAAATTGAACTATCCAGTGTCCCGTGGTGTTGGCCACTGAACGCTCTGCAGCACCGCAGTTCCGTATACGATCTGATTTCGTCTGAACAGGTTGCCCTGATGTTCGTTGTTTTTGCAATCGCCGGGCTGGTGATCGCTCAGGACTCAGTTTCTGAGATCCAACCGATTGAGCAGCAGGTAGTTTCGTCAAGACAAAACATCATCAGTCTTGAGGTCATCCTCACGACCCGATTTGACAGCCCGAGTGTGGGACCCGTCGAAGAATGGGAGAGCCACATCTGGATCGATGGCGATCGGGCTCGGGAAGACAGGAGACTGCTGCATGCGCCGAGGGCGGACGGTGAGGTTCCAATAGTCGTCCGTTGCAACACCCCTGATGAGTTGTTGTATTGGAAGACGGATGATGTCGAAGGCAAAATCGGTATGGCCATCCACCGCTGGCAAGGGCCTGAGCTGGAAGACGCTCGCATCAATGACGTCCTTAGGTTCCCGCGAGATCCCCGCTTCCTCGGCGTCTCGCTGCTCAACACAGGCACACTCACGACAGCACGCGAGTGGGAGATCGGCTGCGCACCAGGACTCGCAAATCGTCACAAACAGACGGTTGAGGACGTCAACGTGTCGGGGCAGGAGCTGCTGCTCATCAGATTTGAGACGTCTGTGGGATCAACGATCGCGATTTGGTACGACCGCGAAAAGGACGGGCAACCCGTAAAGCTGACCGCAGATTTTCCAAAGCACGACCTGACGGCAGAAGTCAACGTGGAATATCAGCTCTGTGACGACGGAGTGACATGGCTGCCGTCTAAAGTTGTGTCTCTCCAGGAACTGAAGGGCGAAAAGGACTGGTACGAGGAAAGCGATTTGGAAGTCATCAGCGTTAACGAACCCGTACCAGATTCAATCTTCACACTTTCGTCTCTGGACATCCCGGAAAAGTCTATTCAGAACTATCCGGCACTCGCTGAGGACACTTATTGGGATGGGGAGAAGGAATCGGCCAGAGTGATGGGGGATCCAAGGCCGACGGGCGGTGGAAATCTGGATCAGGGTGCTGGCAGGAATTCTGGCGGCCCACGTATCTTCGTATTGGTCAATCTCTGTTTTGTCGTGCTTATCATGGTCTACCTCGCGTTCCGCCGGCGCAGCTGATCTCCAAGCGCCAGACCCGCGAGCACACGGTCATCGAACGGTCTGGGATCCGGAATATTCGCTCTGTGGATCCGAAAAGCAGCTCTGGCCACACATGCCCTGCCGATGCAGTGGTCCCTGTTCATATGCCCCTGACGCGCTCAGAATGCACCGACTCTTCCCCTTTCAGGGATTCCTCAGCCGGAATGCAGACGCAGACAGATGGACGACATCTCAGGACTTCGACGATTACTGCTGGGAACGGTAGCCCATCTTTCGCTGTTTGCTGTGATCTGCATGTACGTCACCAGCAGCCATCATCTTGTCCGGGCGGTGAGTTCGGATGCATTCGGCAGGCACGCCATTTGCCGGCTGGACACCCAGGGCGTTGTCGTCACCGTTCAGGCCAGCTTGTTCAGACCCAGTTCGTTTGATATCTACGAATACGAGCTGTCAGGCGACCTGCCGTGGAGCGAGGGAATCCTGGCATACAGAACGGCGACCTGGTGGACTCCCTGGGTATTCTATGCTGAAAGCGATCCCTTCGGTTTCGCTCCGGGATGGACCGTCGGAGTCCGCTACGAACTGCTGGGACTGCTGACCGGCTGCCTGATGCTGTTCTACCTGTTTCGACGTAAGCACTCCATCCGGCGGAATCTGCTGTGGTTCGTGCGGCGACGATGGTTATGCGTCTGTTCCTGTGTCGGTGCCGCCATCGCCTTGCACGTTGCGTTTTGTTCGTGGTCGTTCAGCAGGAACGATTATCTGACCATGGAGGAACTGGCGTGGCCGGATCCAACCAGCCGGGAGCTGCTGGACGACCGGTGGTGGCGTGTCTGTTATTACGTGAGACTCGAGGAATATCGGGATCCTTTATGCCTGCACATGCCGCTGGCCGAATCCGGCAATACGATTCTTCCGTTGAGTCAACTCTCGGACAAAGCCATAAGTGTCCTTGCGGAGTCACTGCCTGGCAAACATCGCCCCGGCAACGCGCGACAGCTGATTCTCGAGAAGCGTGTCGGTGAAATGCCCCGATCGCTGCATGTGATGCGCACGGAGGGTACCAGGGAACGCACGGAGTCGATGATTCGCTTTCACCGATCCCACGCGGCGCTCAACGCCGATCAACACGGTCCATGGACTGCCTGGCTGGCTCCTCAGCGCGAAGATGCTCGTCTGATGGGATGGCTGTATTGCGGGCCTCTGGCAACGGCGTATACGCAACCGATCGGCAGAAACTCACTCAACTACCGTTGCGTCCACTGGCACAAAGTCGCCTGGTGTTTCGGCTGCATTGTTCCTGCCTGCCTGATGGTGCTGGCAGGCGTCAGCCTCCGGATGCCGAGCGACCAGGGGCAGGGCAGCAACGTCGCATCGTAGCACGGGACCACTGTCCCGTGTTGCCCGCACTCACTCACCGTAGCATGGGACCATTGTCCCGTGTTGCCCGCACTCACTCACCGTAGCATGGGACCATTGTCCCGTGTTGCCCGGCCATACTCTCGGTCGGGACGATGGTCCCAACCTAACGACGGGACCACGGAGCGTGATACTCGAACAGCACCCCGGCCATCCACCGCGCTTCTCCTTCAGTCAGCGGAGAGATACTGGCCTGGTCGATGTTGTCGGCACTGACAAAGGTCAGCTGATAGCGGTTCTCCTCCGAGATCCCGGACGACAGCGAGGATCGGATGCGACGCGAGCTGTCATCATCGTCTTTCCGCAGCTGCAGGTGATCCAGCTGATCCAGACTCCAGCGCCAGGAATAACTCACCAGCGGCCACCGCGACTGCTGGACGAGCTCCTGGTGGTCCAGACGCCACACGATTTTGCGGAACGGCTCCACCACCGTCATCACCAGTCCAATGAACATCACCAGACCGATGACTTCGAAGGGAATCAGAAACACGAACATGCTCCACCATTCGGCCCCCTGCGGATTATCCCCGGGCATCAGTCCGCACAGACCCAGCACAAACACGCCCACGATACCGTTCCAGAAGGCGTTGATTCCCAGCAGCACCAGAAATGTGACGATCTGAAATCGCCCCCGCTGGCTGAATTCGACTCCATCGGCCCGCTCCTGCAGCTGCCAGCTGACATCCGTAGGCGGATCGTCCTGAACATCATTCGCCGACAGACGAGCAGCAGAATCGCGGTGACTTTGCGCCAATGCAAACTCGTAGTCGACAGGGGACTCTGCAGGAGACTCGTCAGTTGCTGTGGCAGCGAACTGATTCAGCTGCCAGATCAGCCAGCGTCGCTCACGATCGGGAATGCGAAATGCAAATCGAACAGACTTGCCGGCCGTGACCACTTCAATCCCGTAAAGATACTCATCGTTCTCGTGATGCTTGCTGCGACACGAACGGAAGCGTCGCACTTCTGAGATCGGAATCTCCCGAGCGGTGAGTGTGATCAGGGCCTTTCGCAGAAAGAGGACCCGGTCACGGCGAACCAGCAGCGTTTCTGTTCCAAAGAAACTCCAAATCAGAAAACAGCCGACAGCCAGCCAGGCCGTCCAGAACGGAAGGGCGAACAGAAACGTCCCCAGCTCCGGATTGCGAATGAATTCCGCTCCGACATGCACGCAGCCAACCGTCCAGGCAATCTGCCACAGCAGCAGGAATCCAGCAGGACCTCGTGACTGACCGGCGGTGACAGCCAGCCCCTCCTCCGACTGCCGGAAGTCAACCGTGAGTTGTTCCGGTCGGGACGGTCCGTGTTCCGAGCTGTAGGGCTCGGTGTCTGTCATCTCTGTTGAGTTCCCGGGTGTCAGGGCGCGAAGCGTTTCGATGTCAATCATAGGTGAGCGGAAACGTGGGCAGCACCCCGGATGATCACACCGATTTCCGGTTCTTCATCAAACCTCAACAAACTGAGGCGAAAACGCAACATCAGCCTCAACGGCAGCAGCCAGCTTATGGCGTTTGCTTGTACAGCCAGACTTCAGACAGCAGTGTTCCCCAGCCGCCGGTGTTCCGCCACACGGTCACGTCGCCCAGTTCGCCTTCACCAATGCCCGCCTGTTTGCGGCAGGAGATGGTAAGCCGGCCATCGGCGGTGGCAGAACGCGGAATCGGAAATTCGAACTGCTGAGGCGTAAAGCGGGGCAGTTCCATGTCTTCGACCAAAGGAACGTCGTCCGCGAGGATGCTCTGGCTGGTCTGATGCTGAAAGATGCCGAATCGCTCCAGATAGTTCGGACGCACCAGAGTCATCCGCGCGACATACTGAGCGTTCGGATCCAGATCGTCGTACTCCAGAGTGACTCCCTGTTCTTCATCCGTCGTGAAGGCACAGGACACCTGCGACCGACGGGCCGACAGGTCAAAAATGCCGTCGCCAAACGGCCAGCCGACCGTCACACGCGGTGAGTTCTCGGGGTCGCCAAGGTCATCGTACAGCGCGCCGCGGGACGTCATTTCGTAATCCGCCAGCTGCTGCAGGATGGCTCGCGCATCGTCCGCGTCGGCCTGTTGTGCTTTACGGATTTGTCGCTCGTGCCAGCCCAGACCCACGTAGTCCTGATCGAGGTTGTACATGCCGGCAATCTGCACGCCGTAGACCGCGTCACTTTCTTTCCCCAAACGCAGCGCTTCGGCCTGCCAGGCGGGAGCCCGCTCGTCCTGCTGTTTGCCGGCCTCCAGCAGCTTCTGCAGTCGATCGAGCCCGCCCGTGATGTCATCAGACTCGACAGCGCCTGCCGCCGTGGCCAGCAGTTCGTTGAGCAGCCTGGTCTGGGCTCGCACGTCACTCTGGATGTAGAGATCCGTGAGTGCTCGCTGCATATACTGTCGCCACAGGTAGTCCTGCTTCATCAGATTGTCGGGGATCGCATTTCCTGCTGCCCGCACCAGTTCGGCAAACTGCTCGATCCCGTCGTTGTCGGCGATGGGCGTCTGCAGGTTTTCTTCGAACTGCTGAATGGCCTGGACCATTTGAGGAGCCGCCTGCGGTCCAAAACACTTCCTCGCATACTCCAGAACCAAATCATCCAGAGGCATGTCCGGAGACCACAGCAGTCGCTGCCACATCCAGCTGTTGAAGTGGTCGTGATGACCTTCGGAGTAATTCACGTCTCCGATGCCGTAGCGCATGGATTCGCGAAAGAAGTCGTAGTACGCCGCCGGACGGGCGTTGAAGGCGCGGCGATTGTACACCTGCGCCATCGCCGGATCCGGTTTGCGGTCATAGATGTAATGATCGGACTGAGGCGGCAGATCGTGGTTGCGGTCCGGAATCAGCGCATGGTCCATCAGTCCGTTTTGAGCATAAACCCAGTGGGTGACGTCCGTGAAGAATACCAGGTCGTGATTCGGAGGCATCTGCTGCAGCATCTCGCGATAGTAACGATCCATCGCTCCAAAGGCCGGATAGCGAAACAGATCCATGCGGTGATCCTGTCGACGCCCCGGCATCCAGCCCATGGCATTGGAGCCGGGGCCAATGGCGACTGCTCGCAGCCAGGGTTCCGGATGTTCTCTGAGGAACTGGAAGATGGCCCGATCACCATCGTTGTCCAGCTTCTGATTCAGCACGAACAGCTCGGTCTGCGGATGGTACTTGTGAATGATCTTCGCGATGTCGTAGCACATCTCAATGTAGACGGCTCCATACGGCCGGCAGCGTGCGCATTCGCAGCCACCACCATCTCCCGACTTCATGCGGACATAATCGACAGGCGGCGAGTTCTTCCAGCGCTGCTCTTCTTTTTCCAGCTTGAATGCCCGTGCTTCCGGAATGGACAGGCACAGATAGCTGGTGCGGCCGATGGCTTCCTGAGCGGCCCATTCGGGTTTGCCTGGTCCCTGATTGGGATTCATCGACACCAGCACTTTGAGGCCCAGGCTTCTGGCGAACTGATACTTCGCATCATTCTCGCTGACGCCGTATCCCAGAGACAGCGTGTTGGCACCGGCCAGCACGTAGCCGATCACGGCCTGCTGCCATTCTTCTTCGGTCCAGTGGCGTGATCCTGTGAGCTGCGTGATGGTGTGTCCCTGACCAATATTGGCGCCTCGCACTTCGAACGCCGGCGCGGAGCGTATGGACAGCTCTTCCGGCAACTCCACCGACGTCTCACGAAAAGTCATCTGTCGCAGCAGCTCGCCGATGCCATAAAGCACACCTCGCTGATCGACACCAATGATGTGAACCGTATTCCCGCTGCGGTGCAGGACAAATCCTTCCGGACCGGGATCCGTCTGCGTGGGAAGCTTTCCTGCCGGCAGCACGGATGGCACAGAGCCGTTGGTGAGCGACTCTGCAGTGTGGAGCACGACGGACAGAGTCTCAGGAGAGGCCGCCGCCTGCTGATCCCCCGCGGCAGAGATTTCCACTTCAGACCGACGGGAAATCTCAGACTTCAGCACGGACAGATAGTTGTCAACAATCGTATCTTCGCCCACCGTAGTCGTGAGCTGCAACGTGGGATGAGAGGATGCCAGGGCAGAGGCCGGCACAAGGACAACGAGCGTAATGAACAGGAACAGCGGTTTCATGCAGACGGACCTCGGTGAGCGCGGACGTACGGGAGGACCGTCTAACGTAGTGGAGCGTTCGGGGGAATTCCAGCGGCGATTCGCCCCTCATCCGGCCTGCGGCCACCTTCTCCCCGCCAGGGGAGAAGGGACAGGTTCCTGCGGCGCGTGCGGAGTAGAGGGGGACAGGTTCGTGCGGCATCTGCAGCGACGAAGAGGGACAGACGTGGAGGTTCGTGAAGTGGGATGCTCGTGGCTACACTGGTTCGCGATCGCCGCATTTGGCCACGCACACACCCACAGCAGGATCGCCCGAAAGGTCAATCGATGAATCATCAGCGCCGTCTGACGGAACGGATCTGTTCGGCCGACGACGCCGTGGCCCTGATCCAGGACGAGGACTCGGTTGTCTGTGGCGGGTTTGTGGGAGCCGCCCATCCGGAAGCGCTGACGGCGGCTGTCGAGCGTCGGTTTCTCGCCGAGCAGGCGCCGCGGGATCTGACTCTGGTATACGGAGCAGGGCAGGGGGACGGGAAATCGCGCGGACTGAATCATCTGGCCCATGAAGGACTCGTCGCCCGCGTGATCGGCGGCCACTGGAACCTGGTGCCGGGACTCGGACGTCTGGCGATTGACAACAAAGTCCAGGCCTGGAATTTCCCTCAGGGTGTGATCTGCCAGCTGCTGCGAGACATCGCCGCCGGCCGGCCTGGCTGTACCACTCATGTGGGACTGGGAACATTCATCGACCCGATCAACAGTGGTGGGAAACTCAACGACGTCACCACGGAAGATCTGGTGGAACGCATCGAGCTGAATGGCAAGACGTGGCTGTTCTATCGATCGTTCCCCGTCAATGTGGGTCTCATCCGCGCGACGGCCGCTGATCCATCCGGCAATCTGTCGATGGACGAAGAAGCGGTGATCGGAGAAGTTTTGCCGATCGCCCAGGCGGTGCATAACAACGGAGGTACGGTGATCGCTCAGGTCAAACGTCTGCTGGACAAACCGCTGCCACCTCAGCAGGTTCGCGTTCCCGGAATTCTGGTCCATCGCGTTGTGATCGCCAACGAAGGTGAGCACGATCAGACGTTTGCTGAGGAGTTGAATCCGTCGTACTTTTCGGCCGCCGCTGACGACGAACTCCTGCCGACGTTTGATGAAACAGCGCCACTCGGCGCCCGCCGACTGATTGCCGCACGGGCCTGTGATGAACTAAAACCTGGCGATATCGCCAATTTGGGAATCGGCATGCCGGAAGGAATCGGGATGGAAGCCGCTCGTCGCGGCATCTATCGCGACTTCACGCTGACCATCGAAAGCGGTCCGATTGGAGGCGTGCCGGCCGGTGGACTCAGCTTCGGAGCCTCGTCTTACCCGAACGCTGTGATTGACCAGCCGTCGCTGTTTGATTTCTACGACGGTGGCGGCCTGGACTTTGCCGCACTTGGCGCAGCGGAAGTCGACCGACACGGCAACGTCAATGTGTCCCGGTTCGGGCAGTCGATCGCGGGAGTCGGCGGCTTTGTGAATATCTCCCAGAATGCCGGTCGACTGGTCTTCTGCGGCACGATGACCGCTGGCGGCCTGGAGATCTCGGTGGACGATGGTCAGCTGAAGATTCTGAAGGAGGGAAGCAGACAGAAGTTCGTCGAGGACGTCCAGCAGATTTCATTCAGCGGCGAACTGGCCCGCTCACTGAATCGCGATGTGCTGTTCGTGACCGAGCGAGCCGTCTTCCGGCTGATGAAGGACGGTCTGGAGCTGATCGAAGTGGCTCCGGGTATCGACATCGACAATCAAATTCTGCCAGTCATGGGATTCCGACCGATCATCAGCGATGTGCACACGATCCGATCCGGCATCTATGAGACAGATTCTTAAGGGTCGTTGAAAACCAGGTCAGGTCAGTTCGGCCAGCCGACGGCGCAAGCCGCGGGTCATGAATCCACAGCGCTCTACGAAGGCTACCCGAGGCTTGCGCCTGCGGCTGGCAGTTTTGAAACCACTTCCCGCAGCCACGTGCTTCATGATGGCTTTCGTCAACCGCACAGCCGGCCCGGTAGACGGCATCGGCACGATTTTGGCTCTCCATTCTTTGCAGTCGGCGGCAACTCCGGCGATAATATCCCAGCCCCATTCCTTCCGCGTCATCCACCCCCGACATGCTCACACGCCCTCTGTACCTTTGCCTGCTGCTCGCCACACTGCCTGTCACTGTTCGCGGCGCTGATCAGCCCACAGTTTCGGCCGAGGATGTGCAGTTCTTTGAGAACAGAATTCGTCCGGCGCTGGTGAAGTACTGTTACGAATGCCACTCCGCGTCTTCGGAGGACCTCGGCGGCAAACTGCTGCTCGACAGCCGCGGCGGACTTCGCCATGGTGGTGAAGCCGGACCGGCCGTGATCCCCGGCAGTCCGGATGACAGCCTGATCATTCAGGCGCTGCGTTATGATGGAATTGAAATGCCGCCGGACCAGCCGGTTCCGGAATCGGTTGTCCATGATTTCGTGGAATGGGTGAAACGAGGCGCTCCGGATCCTCGTCGCAAACCAACCGATGCCCGCAAAGACGCCCTCCATCAAAAAGACGCTCTGTGGGCGTTCGACCCTCCACAGAAATCCGCGGTTCCACAGGTCACCAATGCTTCATGGCCACGAGGAGAACTCGATCATTTTGTGCTGTCGAGAATCGAAGCAGCCGGGCTGCAGCCTGCCGCCGACGCTCAGCCACGCCAGCTGATCCGACGCCTGTTCATCGATCTCATCGGGCTGCCGCCCACCCTGACCGACGTGCAGCAGTTCGAAGCCGCCTGGGCCAGTGATGCGCCGGCGGCCATTGCCAGTGCCGTGGACGATTTACTCAGTCGCCCCCAGTTTGGTGAGCGCTGGGGACGCTACTGGCTGGACGTGGCTCGATACGGAGAATCAAACGGCAACGATGGCCTTGGCCGCAATCCCACGTTTCCTCATGCCTGGCGTTATCGCGACTATGTGATCAGCGCGTTCAATTCTGACATGCCGTGGAATCAGTTTCTGACAGAACAGATTGCCGGTGATCTGCTGGAAGCCTCATCAGATGAAGAACGCGACCGCCATCTGGTGGCCACCGGATTTCTGGCCATGGCTGCGAAACCGGCCAAAGCCATGAATACGAATTTTGAAATGGACGTCGTGGCCGATCAGATTGATGTGGTGGGGCGCGGAGTCATGGGGATCAGTGTGGCGTGTGCCCGCTGTCATGATCACAAATTCGATCCGGTTCCCACACGGGACTACTACGCGCTGGCCGGCATCTTCACCAGCAGTGAAACCATGTGGGGCACCGCAGCC